AAACATCTGGAGTTCCATCCATGAGGCACCGAGCCCATGTTCCTCCTAAAACCTAAAACAAATGAAGAAAACACCCTAATTATGCTCTAAAGACAATAAAACAAAGCAAAATGGGAGGAAAAAATCCCTGTAAAACATTCAGGATTACCTACAAGTCAAAGCCTGATTCTGTGTTTGGAGTCCATTATTGATGGAACAATGTTCAGCTGCGCCGTAAACAAAGCGCGCTCCAGTTGTAGCTGTAAATTGTGTTATTGTTCGGCAGACAGATGACGGCTGCTAATGTTGAACTGAGAGGATCTTAGAGGTGGATTTAACACGTTTCCTCTCGTTCGGGTTGAGACGGCAGATAAAGAAAGAGGTAGCTTCCAGAGAAAAGGTGTGAAATTCGGAATTAGCAGCACAATATGGAAGTATTAAAGTGCGGCACAAAGAGCAGGGAGAGCCGCGCGGCGCGGTGCTGCTTCCCTGACTCTACGGAGGGATGAAGACGCCGCGTTTGCTCGCCGCGTCGGGAAGGCCCAGAAACAAACGGAAACTGAAAATAGTTCCTGAGTGCGGCAGACACAGCCGAGAAAACCTGGTCTGGAATCTGTTCATAGAGAAAACACGGTTTTTATCAATATTTCAGTTTTCTATACTAGAATGTATTGATTGTTTTTACAATCATCTGTGAAAAATAAGGCTTTTCATTTATTTATTTGTTGGTTTTGCAAAACTAAAACCCTCTGGAAGTCAAGATGGCGTCTAACACCTAAAGTAAACGTAAATAAAGTTCTAAAGTGATTTTTAAAGGGTGTAAATTTGGTTCAAATCATTTATTCTGACTAATTTAAACTGACTTGAATCAGACAGAGAATCTCTGGGAGAAGCTAAAGATTAGGGTGATGGCAAAGTGTTCATCCAACCAAACACAAAACCTGGAGAAAAGACGGATCATAGCAGTAGATATTTTCTGATGCTCATTAGAGGATAAAAGACATTTTGCCTTAAATTTGGGTTATTTAGCCTGTGATGGGAAATGATAACTCATTCATAAAAGAATCACAATCTAGGCAGTAAGATGCTCATATTTTCATGTCATTTTTTCAATTTTTCAGGTGATATTTCATGTTTATTCTCCTTTTATGATGATTTATTCCAGTCATTTAAAGCGAAGCGTCTCCTCGACCTTCACTTCACACGCGGCTGTAAAACTGTTTCAGTTCCTCCAAAGTGACGTCGTGTTTTCTCCGCCTCCCTGTAGATGGAGGCAGAGGAATGACCCTGCAGGGTCAGGTGCTGTCGCACTGAAGAGGTCAAAGGTGAAAGGATCACGTTCTGATTTCTGTCACTACGCTGGCTGGTTAAGTCTCTTCCTTTATCCTAAACCATACAGGTTTTCTTCCTCCTATTTGTTTTATTATCATGAGTTTCAGGGCAGCAGAAAAAATAAATTTACTTGAAATTGTTTAAAAATAAGAAATAAAACGTTAAAATTCCTTTAGTTCAGCGAGTTCATTTCTAACAATAATTATAAACTTTTTTCTTTATTTACAACCTAATAAATCTTTTACGTCTATATTTATTTTCAGATTTTTGAGCCTTAAAGCTGCAGAATCTAACTTATATTTGTTGTTTTTCACATATTTGTTAAAACTGTCCAGATAATCTGTGAATAGATCAACCAATCAGAGCAAGGAGGAGGGGCTTAGCGCTGTCAATCATCCTCATGAATGTGCCGGACAAACAACTGACCGTTACAGAAAAACTGTTTATCCACCATCATTGGTGGCTATGCTAACTAGCTGTAGCATTCATTACAGCGAGCCAATCAGTTCATCACTCAGCCCAACTCCGACCTATTGACCCTTTCCATGCGACATCATGCCATTCAGAACGCAACCCAGGCGGCCATGACACATGGAGGAGAGCAGCAAAACATATTCAGGTTAGAGTAGAAATACTTAACATATCTTTACTCAAGTAAAAAGTTTCTGTCCAAGACCAGGAAGAGTAAAAAAAGCATTCGGTAAAATCCTGAGTAACTGGTCAAATTATCAACCATTTCATATCTAAAAATTACATCATCGGACAGACCAAAATATAAAGACAAAAATTACAATAATTCACATAAATAACAAAAATAAAATCAGGCAGAGAATTTTAAACTTCTGAAACTTCAACAGTGTTTCTGTGTCTGGTGAATTTTTCATTCAGTGGGTAGAAAATACAGAGAAAATAAGAAAATTACTCAAGTAAAAGTAACACTGTAGAAAAACGTCTGGCCTCTACAGCTGTCTGTATTTTACTGTAAATTTGTTCCATAAACAGACGCCTGCAACACAGCAACTTCACTGAGTTCAATGGTCTCAGGCTGCAGGCAGAAAATAAATTACTTTACAACCTTGAACAGATTCTGCAGCGACGGATCGCAGCCATCAGAAGACGTTCGGTAGACGCACGGTAGACGCTCGGTAGACGCACGGTAGACGCTCGGTAGACGCTCGGTAGACTCTCGGTAGACGCACGGTAGACGCACGGTAGACGCTCGGTAGACGCACGGTAGACGCACGGTAGACGCACGGTAGACGCTCGGTAGACGCTCGGTAGACGCACGGTAGACGCTCGGTAGACGCACGGTAGACGCACGGTAGACGCTCGGTAGACGCTCGGTAGACGCACGGTAGACGCACGGTAGACGCACGGTAGACGCACGGTAGACGCACGGTAGACGCTCGGTAGATGCACGGTAGACGCTCGGTAGACGCTCGGTAGACGATCGGTAGACGCACGGTAGACGCACGGTAGACGCTCGGTAGACGCTCGGTAGACGCTCGGTAGACGATCGGTAGACGCACGGTAGACTCTCGGTAGACGCTCGGTAGACGCACGGTAGACTCTCGGTAGACGCACGGTAGACTCTCGGTAGATGCTCGGTAGACGCACGGTAGACGCTCGTTAGACGCACGGTAGACGCTCGTTAGACGCACGGTAGACGCTCGGTTCGTGAGACGCAATCGAACACTGAGCTCTGGAGGACGTTAAACATGGAGACGACCCCCCACCATGATGCAGCATGTATGGAAAAACTGGTCACCATCTGGACTTTTGTGCTGTTTCTGAGGATTTGAGTTATGTGGTGTGAACTCAGGTGATCTGATCAGCAAATAGAGGCAGAAGGTTTGGGTCGGTTTGGGTCAGTGTGGGTCAGTGTGGGTCAGTTTGGGTCAGTTTGGGTCGGTTTGGGTCGGTTTGGGTCAGTTTGGGTCGGTTTGGGTCGGTTTGGGTCAGTTTGGGTCAGTTTGGGTCGGTTTGGGTCGGTTTGGGTCGGTTTGGGTCGGTTTCCAACCGTTTCATTCACAGACAGTTTATCTCGACTCAAACAGGTGGAAGCCTTGAATAAACTGGGTTTTTCAGGCTGCTTCATGTTACCGGGTCGGTTCTGTTTGAGGGATTTTAGAGCTGGTGAACTTGGACCAAATAATGCTAGTAAATGAATAATAAATTAGAGCAGCTGTGTTTTGGTTTCATGTTAAATCAAACCTTCATTCTGAAACAGTTTTTTGCATTTTTCTCCAGTTGAGAGGTTTAGCTGCTTTCCCACAGCAGAGCATCAGTTTGGTAAAACTTTAGTTGAGTTTCTCGCTGTGCGTCGTCTGCAGAGGAGAACGTCTCCCCGCCGGTGACAGGCGTAATTCCCTGTATTTAGACGAAGCGCCTGAACACCTGGACGCCTCCGGTACGCGGGCTAACCTATAGCTGGAGCCGAGGGGGCCGCGTCCCGCCGCCGATGTCGCCGCGCGGCTTCAGTTCAGCCACCTGGCAGCTCCATAATGACACATCAGCTCCCACACACGGCGCCGGAGCCGGTGATCAGCGCGGCGCAGCGGGGCAGACCCCACCTGACATGACACGGCGAGGGCGGAAAAAGCTGGACGGAGGGACGGCTCAGGAAGAAAACAAAACCTGACTGCACCTGTAACGGACGGAGGTAATTCTCCATGGAGCCCAGCAGGAGCCACAGGTTCAGCAGGCTAAACGGCTAACGAGACGTCATGAGAATGTTTCAAGCTTTTTAATGATTGTAATGATTAATGAATGAATATCAGGATGAATTGGCTATGCAGGTAGTCCAGATTTTATCGATTATTTCAGAAATGATGCAGCAAAGTGAAAATAACACCAAAAACCAACCAGAAGCCGCTCCGCCCCCCCCCTCCACGCTCCGCTAGCCAATAGAATCGGGACGAAGAAAAACAAAACCAAAATTTTTCCCCAAACAGGAACAGAACTTGCGGTCCGCTCCGGTTTTATGTTTGCAGGCGCGACGCCGGCCGGCGGTTTTGTTCTGCAACGGCGAAAATAACATTTTACAATAAACAACTAAAAACCGCGAATCAAAGATTCTCGTTAACAACGAGCGGATGGAAATTTTTAACCACGTTTATTCATTTAAAACTAGAGGGAAAAACGGCTGGAGTTGATTAGAAAACAGGATCAGAACAGAACATTTATTGTTGCTGTTTCAGTTCATTTAAAGTTCAAATCAAATGTTTTGTTGAGTTTCTGCTTAATGGTTTTGCACTTAAAATACTGAAAGTCAAGTTTCTTGTTTTTGTGCATAAACTTGGATAATAAAATTTATTTTTTTAATTCCAAACAACCCAAAAAGTATATAAGATTTCCATCCAGCTGGTGTGTTTAGGAAAACACATGGATAAAGAAATAATTTAGCATTTTAATTTTGATGTTTTATTGAGAATAAGACCCTTAAATTACATTTTTTAGACCAAAAATGGAAAAATGACAGTAAAAGTTGCTCTTTTTATTAAAAACAGCCTAAGAAGTAAATAATATTAACATCCAACTGGAAAATAAATAGAAAAAACGAATAATTTTGCATTTTAATTGTCATATTTTGTGATATTTTTAAACCAGGAAGTGACTGTTTTTCCCTAAAAAGTGAGACTGACAATGCCTGTGTTTATCTGGGCGACAGTTGCGATCTTTCTCCTGACCTTTTCTCAGTCTGTTTTCTGCCGGTCGCCACCTTTCCCAGTCCCACCTGCTGATAACTCGTTGATTTGTTTCACACTCTGGAAACCATCCATCGCCAAGCCGCACATGCACAAACCGCTAAAAGACGAGAAAAAAAGGGAAATTTGGAATAAGAAGTGATTGTATTAGGTGATGCACGGCGGCGGTATCACACTGCTTTGTTAGAGCGGCTGGGATCCGGGCCGGTTTTAGCAGCACCAGCATGCTTCTCCCAGCTCTTTTTCAGCTCTCTTCCCATTCACAGCGTGCCAGCAGGGGTCGTGACCTCTGCTTTCTCCTGGCTAAGTCGTGGAAACATGAGAAAAAGAAAAGAGAAGCGACTAATTTACCCTCGTCTGCTGCCATAGGAACCAACCATCAGCAGCGTTACGCAAAGAAACTAAATCTCAGAGAGAAACTGAATTTTTTCGCCCTCAGCTGCTTTGGTTTGATTTTTTCATTCCTAAATTTGGTGAAATAATTTTGTTGCTAATTAATTTAATCAGTTTTATTGATACTATTTTACCCTACAACTTTTTTTCACACATTTAATTAAATACTTTTGGTGCAAATGAGGGGAAAAAAGACAGAGAAAATGTTGAGGTTTTATTTATTTAATAAACCCCAATTAACACTCCTAAAAAATTACAATAAATAATTAATTCCACCCGAAAAGAAGATTATCACCTCCAAAGTTCAACATAATTTCATCTGAAATTTATTTTCCATTGCCTAATATTTTCCAAACCAAATAACCACCAAAAAGTTTGTGTCCCATTTTAAACAATGAGAAATAAAGGAAACATCCTGCAGGGGGCAGTAATGCACCAAGTTCTGATATAAAACCAGTAGAAAAAGAAGATGGCTGCCTCGCTATCTAACAAGATGACATGCTGGTGAAACACTTCAAAAAAGCAACTTCTGAATTAACATTAGCATCATTAGCAGCTAAGCTAAGCTACAATGTCAGCAACAATTTTATGAAATGATAGAAATAAATCTGCTTCCTGAAAAACAGTCATATTTTATTAACTTCAGTACATTTTTGGACTCTTCGTGAATTTATAGTTCCGGACATTAGCAAGTGAGCTAAGCTAGCAAGCTAATCAGAAGCTAAGAAGTATTTTATTAGATGTTTACGTTCTTCTTCCGCGCATCCAAGTCACTTTGGGGTCGTAAATTATTTACACAAAACTATGAACGCAAACAATTTAAAAGATGATGTGAGCAAAAAAACAAAAATTGTAAATAAGCACAACTTTTTTATTTTCTGTGATTAGACCTGTCGTAAGAATTATACTTTATCTAAAAGCCATAACCGGGTGAGTTGTAATAATACACTCAAGTATTTCAAAATGTGTTAAACCTTAAATTCAGTTTATGTACATTTGAATTAGCAAAATAACTTTTCTTTAGTGGATTGGGCACCAAAATGTTTCCAGCCCAGGGGCCCCAATCCTCATAAATGCAGCCATGCCCATTATTTCAGACTTAAATAATAAAATAATAGTTTTTTCAGATGTTTTTGGAAAAATATTGTCATTTATTTAGGTGGTAAACCTGAGGAATCAGAGAAAAACTGAAGTCAGGATCTCCTCCTGACAGCCAATCAGATTCGTCTTAGCAGTGGATCCACACCAGCAAACCTCACGTTTACCGCGCGTGTGTCAAGTGAACGTCAGCTTCATAATCTCTCATCCTACAGCCAAAGCATCATCATCCACACACACACACACACACACACACACACACACACACACACACCACACACACACACACACACACACACACACACACACAGCGAGTCAGCAAGGAGCAAGCTAGCGCTTAAAGCAAAACTGGGCTTCCATGGTCATCCATTATCACTGACAAGCTAAATGTACCATGCTACGCCATATGGTACAGAGACGGAGCGAGCCAGAGAGGAGGGCGAACGAGGCTACCGTCAGGGGGAGAGAGAGAGCGAGGAAGAGGAGGGAGGATGTAGAGCGTTACGACTGAGGTGTGAGTTCTTAATCTACATTCTGCTTTCTGCTTTATGTAAGTAACAACCTGAAAACACTCAGATGTTCCTGCAGCAAATCCAGACTTAAAGCAACGATCCTGCGATCAGATTCATTATTATTACTGCAAAACGCTGCAAAAAACACTGGAACATTTAAATATCCAAAATCATTAAACAAAATAAAATGAAACAAAGTCTCTGCAAACAAAACTGTCCAACAAAAAAAGAAGTTAGTTGAGAGCAAAACATCAAACTGAAGACTGTTATCATCCGGAAAACAGAAAAATATAAATATTCCAAATAAAAATTATTGACCTCCTTTTAATTGATCATCTGAATCATTGATTTATTGTGACAGGCCGATATAGGAGTCTGTTTTAAGTCAATAAATCCTAAATATCGATGAAAAAACTGATATTCCAGTAACACTGGCCAATTATTTCACCTAAAACAAGTTATTATAAGTTGAATTAGTATTTTTCCATGAATATTAAGAAAAGTTTCAGAAAAGTTTCAGATCATTTCTGCTGTGAAACACGGTGGTGGCAGAGTGGTGATGTGGGGCTGTAACAGTCAGTGAGTGAAAAGCTCAAACTTAGTCTGATTATGCAACAGATGATTAGAATGGCTTGGAGTGGCCTAGTCAAAGCCTGAACATAAATTAGCTTCAGACACAGCAGCCCAGCTGGAGTGATTTATTAACGGCTGCATCTCAACCCAGAAACAAATCGGGATAAAACCAGGACCTTTAACCCTGGTTCTGTTGAAACGGTAACCAGAACGCTTCTGATAAAATGTTTTCAAATAAACACAAATTTATTATTATTATTATTATTATTATTTATTATTATTATTATTATTATTATGTTTGCATCGCTCAGGAAAGATGAAATATTTCTTCAGTTTTCTTCAATAGAGACAGAAATAATAACCAAAATAATAATCCTCTAATTATTCTGTAATCCCGTCGTTCTGTAATCTGATTGATTTTTAGTTAAGACAGTTTCTGCTTGATTTACTGTTGAGTAGAAGAACACAAAATAAAATAAAACTGCAACATTTACGGTGATTCCACTTTTTAAAAATGATTTTCTTTAGTCCTGCTGGTATTTTTAATAAACCGTCTAAAATTATATGAGCAGCTCATTAATTCTGCCATTATTTAAATATTATAATAACTTTGCCAATAAAAACTTCACATGGTTCCTGGGTTCAACAAATGCAGGTATTTCTGAGTTTCTGGGTGAAATTGCGTCTTTAATTTCTCCACATTTTGACAGTAAAATTCCTTCAGTGTCGACTGAAAACCATGAATTTGCTCCTCAGCCAATCAGAGAAGCAAAAGCTGCAAAATTTAACAAACACACTTTCAGCTGTAAAAGTGACAGCAGTTACAATGAAACCAAAAAATGCATTTTCCCCTCCTGCACGCACGCACACACACACACACACACACACACACACACACACACACACACAGAGATGGTGAGTCTGTTACCTAAAAGCTTACCACAGGAAACATCTGTTCACACAATATAAACATGTTCAGTTTAGACGAAACCGCAAAGAGAACACCTCGACTCAGACTGCTGCCAACGCTTCACCTTTATTTTACGTTCTGTTAAGAAAAGCTTTCATGTTTTCTTAAAGCAACAACTTTTGTCTTTTTTCATGTTTTCTCTAATAAAAGTTTTCACATTTTATTAATGTTTGAATGAAGCTTTGATGTTTATCTGATTTTCGCAGCCGCTGCTGATGCAGGTGCAGAGAAACACCAAACAACGTTTCCTCGTTATTCACTAACGATTCACTTCATGAAGAAACTAAGAGCATTTTAAACTTTTCTTCCAGCCTGTTGCTAAATTATCCCTCTGCCATGTTTCACCAAATCAACCTTATTTTATCTCTTTTTTCCTGAAACAAGTCAGGTTTATTTAGCTTTAGATTTTGATCCAGTGAAAACTGAAAATGATTCTTGATTTAAATTAAATGTATTTGTGATTATCTGATCTTTTTTTAATACCAGAAGAATTTCTGCCATTTAAAGTTTTTATATTTTCCTGCAGAAATATTGTTAAATTACTAAGCAGCTGACAGAAAGTCGGACTGGAATCGGTTTTAATTAATCCCAGTTTATGTTTCGTTTAATTGTTCAGCTGAGTGTCTAACATTTTTATTTTTACTTTTAACGGTTGTGATTTTTGAGTTATGCATCAAAACATCGATATTTCTGTTGAAATTCATGCAGGATTCAGTTTTCTGTCAAATCAGCTCAGAGTGAAGAGAAATTATTCCAAACTCTGTTATAATCCCACTGATAAAATATGTAAATATGTTTCCATCAGAGTTTTTGATATAAACTCCAGGATTATTTGTTTGAAGCATAAATTATATCTGATGATTATTTTAGGTTCTTTTGTCTAATTAAACTCAAAGTTTAATCATTTATTATTATCATCAGGATAGAAAGTCTAAGATGCCAAAAACAAGTTTCAAGCAATATTTATCCATTTAGGTACAAAATACAGCTGGTTAGAATCCTGGACCAATGAGACCATAAAGTTCCTGAATCCTTGAAAATCTGAATTTATAAAAACTAAAGACATTTTCATTCCTCTGATTTGAATGAATTTATCTCTGATATTCATAAATTGCATAATCCAGTGAAAACATGATGCTGATTTTAGATCACAAACATTTTCCTCCACAAAATGAGATTTAACGTTTCATTCTTTTAAAACAAATCTGCTTTTTACCCTTAAATGCAACTTTTCTTGATTAAAACAGAATGACTCCAGTGTTAAAAATCCAGAATGTTCTTTTAAATAAATGTTGGTTGTATTTTTGATAACATGCAGAAAAGAAAACAACCCAGAAAGAGAGAGAGAAAGCGCCAGCTTCACAACAAAGACGGAGGCTGTGCCATGCTGCTGCAGAGGGGGCAGCGCCACGTTGGCAAAGCCCAGGGGGCAACCGCTATCTGCTGCCAACACTTCACACACACACACACACACACACACACACACACACACACACACACACACACACACACACACACACACACAGAGTTACAGAGAGAACAGATCTGCTTTAT